GGGGAAAGGTCCCCACCAGCACAGTCCCCTGCCCCCACCCCCGGTAGCGCCCCAGTATGAAGCTCCCCTCCCCATTGTCCTGGGGCAGCTTCCCCAGGATGGCCAGGGAACATGGCCCAGACCAGCTCCTCTCTCTGCACCTCTCATGACTGGTTTCCTTCTCCAGGAGACCTGGCTCTGCCCCACATGCCCACCGGAGCAGGTCCTCACCCGGCATGGTCCCACAGCTCCGCTGCCATTGGGGTTTTCCTCTGCTGGGCACTTCCCAGCCCCGTCCAGCCCCTCTCTGCCTCTCCCCCACCTCCCCTGCCCTCTCCCAGCCCAGCCCAGCAGAGCCCCCCAGGCTGGGCTGGCCCCACAGCCGTGCTCCCCACAGGGTGCTGCAGAGCTCGGGGCGCTCCCCCCACAGCCCCAGCCCCTCTGAAGGGCACAGCAGCTGCTGGGGGCAGAGAGGGCTCTCAGCCTCCCCAACCCACCAGGGCTGGAGCTGGCCCCAAGGGCCAGCAGAGGCCTCTCACTCTCTGCCTCTCCTGCCTTCAGCTGCAGGACATCCCCAGCCCAAAATTCTCTCGTCCCCACTCGGCCTCCCCACCTGCCCTGCTCCCCAGGAGAGTCCTGGCCCTGGGGCTCCTCAGGCAGCTCCCGCATCTCTCCACTCTCCCTTCCCTCTGCCTGATGCACCTTCACTGCCTCCCATGGCCCTGCACACTCCTGCTCTGGGGGTTCCTGCCTCTAGTGCTTTATCATGGGGGGGACTTAAGCTCTGAGATTTAAACTTTTCTCTGTTTCCATTTGCTTCCCACCCCAGAGTACGTGGAGTGTCCCCGTCCTCTCCTGACCACTCTGGATTCCTTTCCACATGGACTGACACACCTTCCATCAGCCCCATCATACCTGGGACGGCCTGGGGAAGGGGACTGAATCTCTATTTTTTTTACCTTGTCCACCAAGAAGAGAGCCTTCAACCAAATGCTTTGTGTCTAACCATTAGTGTCCCAAAGATATCATGAGTTAATTTCCAAAAACACAAGGGGAAAACAAGGTGGAAATACCTTGGAACATCCAATTCCTTGTGCTTATTCTTAGCCACAACTGTGACAAAGACAGCCCAGCCTTAAGGAACATTCAGGCAATCTCCTTTATTGCAGAGATGCTGTTATGGAGGGAAATGGTGACACATGCTATGACCCCAAGGAATTACCTCTAAGTGTGATTATCCATGAAATAAATGCAGAAGGTGTTTCTAAAAATAAAATTCTGACACTATTCAGAGAAAAAAAGAAAATTACTGTAAATACTGTAAAAGCAATTGGATCAGTTTCCTCAGGGCATCCCTGAGCTCCTGGTTCCTCATGCTGTAGATGAGGGGGTTCACTGCTGGAGGCACCACTGCATACAAAACAGCCATCACTAGATCGAGGGATGGAGAGGAGATGGATGAAGGTTTCATGTAGGCAACCATGGCAGTGCTGATGAACAGGGAGACCACGGCCAGGTGAGGGAGGCACATGGAAAAGGCTTTGTGCCGTCCCTGCTCCGAGGGGATCTTCAGCACGGCCCTGAAGATCTGCACATAGGAGAACACAATGAACACAAAACCCGTAAAAAGTAAACAGGCACTAAGTATAATAAGCCCAACTTCCCTGAAGTAGTCTGTGTCTGAGCAGGAGAGCTTGAGGATCTGGGGGATCTCACAGAAGAACTGGTCCAGGGCATTGCCCTGGCAAAGGGGTAGGGAAAATACATTGGTAGTGTGCAGAAGAGTTGTGAGAAACCCATAACCCCAGGCAGCTGCTGCCATGTGGAGAAAAGCTCTGCTGCCCAGGAGGGTCCCGTAGTGCAGGGGTTTGCAGATGGCAACGTAGCGGTCATAGGACATGACGGTGAGAAGACAATACTCTGCTGTAGCACAGAAAAGGAAAAAAAAGACTTGGGAAGCACATCCCCAGTAGGAAATAGACCTGGTGTCCCACAGAGAAGTGGCCATGGTTTTCGGGACAGTGGTGGAGATGGAGCCCAGGTC